AACTTGTTTCTATCAGGCAATGGAGCAACCAAGAAATGAGATGTCATCATGGTTGAGATGACCTCTGACCTCGAACTGTTTGCCTAATTGGATCCCAAGTATCCCAAGTTGTCTTTTTGTACTGCAGACACACAGGTGTAGGACACAAGGAGTGTTTGTTGGAGCTTGAGAGCTTGGAAGCAAGAGCAATGTAAATGCCCTGCTTGTGATCTGGATGTCAGGCTAAGACCAAGCTACACTAGAGTGTTCCTGCCATGCTTTCCACCACAAGAGGTGGGTGGCTTCATTCCTGAAGAGTGCAACTTAACTTGTGTCTTGTATTTTCTTGAATGTTGAAACAAACGTATTTATTTCTCAGCAAAATATGGCCTTGTTCACTTCATTTGGAATTGTTTGGGGAGGAATGCTTTTTAACAGGGATGAAAACTAATGTGGGGTAGGGTGTTTTGGGTTCATTTTCAGTTATTCTGGGTTAGTTGAAAAATATTTCTTTTTCATATTATTGTTAGCCATGTGGATGTGAACCTGGAACAATGACTGAGTTTCTGGGCCACCTGGTGTTCCCTGAGGTCTTTTTACTGGGTGCAGTCATGTCCACCAGGGAAGAAATGCCCTAAAGAGAGTAAAGGAATCCCGATCTCTTTTCTGAAATTCTTGCTGCCTCTTTATTTCCAAACAGCAAGTGACTTTTTGTTTTTGTTTTTCAAGACAGGGTTTCTCTGTGTATGGAGCCCTGGCTCTCTTTGAACTTGCTCTGTAGATCAGGCTACTTTTGAACTCAGATCCACCTGACTCTGTCTCCCAGGTGATAGGATTAAAGGGATGAGAAACCACTGCCACACCGTTTTCAATGCCAACAGTGTTACTAGAATCTTCCCGTGCTGAAGATCCAAGAGAGGCTTGAAAAGCCACAAACATTTAGATGTCTGCTCATGTAGCAACACTCACAAAGTCACATCCATGCCATGGTACCCATGTGAAAACTCCCATGCATAGTGTTTATTCAAGGAGGGGGGTCTCTTATTTGTGAACTCTGCCTGAGGAGCCTGGAAGTAGATGCATAAAAGATCCAGCACTCTTCCAATGTTATATTAATTTCTGGGGAAAAATGTAAGTACAGTTGGAAATCAGGGAAATATATGAAGTGGTAAAGGGGAACATGCCTGTCTCCTGTAAACCAAAAATAGCCATGACTAAATCTGAGACTATCTGCCAGGACACCTGCATTGACATCTAGTGATGTGTGTGAGGAAGTCCAGAGTAGAGTCAGCTATAAGCTGCATATATAATATAGATATAAGATACCAGGTAGATGGTCTGCGATGGCAGTGTGAAAACTGGAGTTTGAAGCCCCAGCCCCCACATAAATGTTGGGCAGGCATGGTGCCATGATTTAATCCCAGCACTCAAGAAGCAGAGACAGGGGATCCCTGGCAAGATGGATAGCTAGACTAATTGAATAGGTTAGTTGTAGGTTGGTGTGAGAGGCCATGCTTCAGTCTATAAGGAGGAGAGCAGATGAGGAAGACATCTAATGACCTTCAAGCACATATGAATGCAAACGTGAACACACGTGGACTCACACATTCGAAAAATACATAAAAGGAAAACATACAACATACATACATGTGCAAAAATTAAGAAATTTAGAAAGATGAGCAGGTTGCTCTCTCTCTCTCTCTCTCTCTCTCTCTCTCTCTCTCTCTCTCTGTGTGTGTGTGTGTGTGTGTGTGGTGCATCTTGGAAAGTGACACTTTTTATTTTTTACTTTGTAAGCTGTGACCCAAGGTAAATTTAAATAAATAAAGACCCTTTCTATGAATTCTTTGTCCAAGGGCTTTGGTATGCAAATGGAAAGTTGTTTGATGCTTCATAATACCTATATAGGGGCTGTTTGGTCTATGATGGTTGGTTAGACAGGCAGCCACACCCAGTTTTTTCTGGTGCTACAGTTTCTGAGTTCTGGTCACACCATGTGGGTGTGGGTGGCCTCTGGCTTGTGGTAGAGACATCTGAGAAGTGTTCCTTGTTCTGTTATTTGACTGTTTTGTATAGAAATGCATTTGGTAATGTGGACTGTATGGTAGTGACGGGGCTCTTTTTCGAATGCTTTAATTCTCAGATATTAATTATGTATAGTAATGGGCTTCATTGTATCATTTTCACACACACACACACACTCAAACACACACACTCACACACACACTATATTTTGATTACATCACTCATCGTGTCTCTTTCCTCCCTTTTATCCACATCCATCTCTGTCCTTTCTCCACTAAGTTCCTCTTCTGTATACTACTGGAAAAATGTGTCTGCTATCCCTGGGATCCACTAATTGTCTATAGATCCTTGTGCGGGGGGGGGGGGGGGGTGTTTGGAACCTTGTGAGCCCTTCTGCTCTATTATGGGATGTTGACAGTGCCTAGTCTTGTGCACACTTTTCCTAGGTAATCATGGCTGCTGTGAGTTCATAGGTGCAAGGCTACGTCACGCCCAGATGTTTCAGGGCATACCAGCTCTCCCTCTGGCTCTTATATTCATTCTGCTCTGTCTTCTGTGATGCTCCATGAGCTGTGTGTGTGTGTGTGTGTGAGAGAGAGAGAGAGAGAGAGTGTGTGAGTGAGTGAGAGTGTGCGTGTGTGTGAGTGTGTGTGTGTGTGTGTGTGTGTGTGTGAGTGTGTGTGTACCTGCACATTGTGATATAGATGTCCCATTTATGTCTGAGCATTCAACAGTCATTTATTTTCATCACTGGGACCAGTTCTGAGCCTCTGCAGTAATGGATGCCCACTGCCAAAAGAGGCTTCTCTGACCAGTGCTGACAGCAGCGTGTGGGTATAATCATAATTATTTGGAAGGCAATTTGATGGGACTCTGACAAAGAGCATCTGGGGAAGCATCCATATGGACATTCACAGCTCTGTTCCTCACACCCTGTGGGGAGCTTCCAGAATTTGATGAAAGACTGTCTATGTAAAGGGTTGGTCTGAGAAGACTTGCATTATGACAGGACCTGTTATTGTCACACATGTTTAGTTGAGAACTGTGTAACCACAGGTGGCATATAGCTGAGTTGTGGACCAGTGCTGGAAATAGCATGCACACTATTAGGACTTCAAGGAGAAGCAGAGGAAAGGGAGATGGAAGAACTTGAAAACAAGCAAGACAACTCCCAGAGTTCAGCAATAGCTCTGTGCGTGTGCGTGTGCGCGTGCGCGTGTGTGTGTGTGAATGGGTGTGCATCAGTATAAATATGGGCAGACATATGCAGTCATAAAAATGTGCCCCTGTATTCTTTTTAGAGTGTGGGTGTTGTGAGAGTATGCATGTAATGTGTGGGTGTGGTGTACAGAATATGTTTATGGACAGGTATGTGTGCATTTGTGTGAGTGTGCATGGATGAGCATATGTGTGGACATGGAAGAAGGCTCCTTCTAAGTTCCCAGCTTTGGAAGAGGACTATGGTAAAGTTCTTGGGACTCCTTCCAGCCACCTCTCAGATTTCAGGGTGGGGGATGCTGGAAGGCCTGCAGTCTCTAACTGGGCCATTGTACACCCTTCTGATCCATCTATCACTGGGCCCACTTTTGATAGCAGAGTCTGTCAAAGCCAGACTTCACACTAAGCCAGCTTGGCAGTGAACCATAGGGATCACTAGTACTGGGATTACAGGTACATGCCACCATGCCTGCTTTCCTACATGGAGACCAAACTAGGTCCTTATTCTTGTGTGGCAAACACTTCACCAACTGACCCATATCTCCAGCTCAAAATTGATCTCTCCACAAGCTTCTGTTTTTAAATTGAAATAATTTGAATAGATTGTCAGTTTTTTTATTTTTTATTTTTCTTTGAACTGGAGTTCACAGTAGATAGGAGGATTTGGTATTTCTCTTTAGTTGAGGGATTTATGAGCCCTGAAGGCCCATGGGAAAGGAGCCGGAGACCCTCTCCTCTAAGCCCTGCTGGAGTGTATGGTTAGTAACAAGCCCCTACCTCACTCACCCTGATAACCTGGCTTCTTAATGAGACAGCAAAGTTTCTGAAGGTCCAGGAACAGAAAAAAAGTAGCCAATGAAAGCTTCTGGCTGTTGGAACATCTTGGGGCTCAGGACAGCTGCGGGAGTGTGGAGGGGGGGGCATCAGGCTCTGCCTCCACTGACTGTCATTTAGGAAGATGCAACCTGGCCAAGGCAACCTGACACTGGCTGGCCTTGGCTCAGTCCACCGATCTCTTGGTGCTCACAGCCTGGCTCACAGCCCCCTGAGCACTCAGACCAATTGCACAGCTTGCAAACCTGCAGAGCTGGACCAGTGCCCCATCTTCCGATGTGGAGGAGGACACACGAGAGGTTTTGGGAAGTGTGGACATTTTCCAATACTTACCGTCTACCTGGAGGAGGGCCTGGGTGAATCTCTGCCCATCTGAAGAAGGAACTTTGGAGGCAATCCTGAAGGAGGTCAGGTAAACTCTGACCAGGCCTGGCAGCATCGTCCCCTCCTTAGGCTCCTGATCACTGTGTAGAAGGACCAACATGGGAATAAGTCCCATTTGTTCTATGTGGAACAAATGTGTGGATGGAGACTGTCCCCAAGATAACAGAGGCTTTCCGGAACTCTCCAAGTGACTGGGGCATTCCTGTTGTTCCAGCTCTTCCATGAGTGTCTGCTGGGTTGAGAAACCTCTATTTGTGTGGCAGAGAGGACCTTCAAAAAGCTTGGGGATTGGCTATCCAATGTAAATTAGTCAGCCCTAAAAACATATACATACAAGTGACACTAAACAGTTTATAAGAAGAGATAGAGGGAAGAGAACAATGTAATTTATCTTATTAAGAATTTAAAGACTGCTTTGTGACAGATTGTGGGTCAGTTCTGAGATGATGGAAACAGGAATAGGATCAATTGAGTATAATTCCATCACCCAGACTTTTATTCAAGTGGTGACATCAGGTCTGATTCTTTTGATATAAGCCATTCTTCTGTTGGTGGCGCAGGTTACAGAAGTTTCACCTCAACATGTCTCCCGAGTTTCCCTCCCAGAAAGCCCTCCAGACGAGAATGGGATGAGATGAACAGTTTCTGTTGGTCCCAATGGTGTGCCCAGGTAACTTCTTCAGTCCTCATACTCCTTTCTTCTCCAGGTCCCTTCTAGAAACTTCCCCTTCATTTCTGTGTCCATCTTTCTCAAATCTGCAACTGAGTGTGTCGTATCTGCTACTGGTTGGCAGAGATGGTTATGTGTTCATATGCTAACCCTCTTCAATTCAGAGTAAAAATACGTTCCAGTAAAGGAAAAGTTTCCAAGGGTTCTTTCAGATCTACTAGATGGACTCTCTAGAGAGAGTCTCTCTCTCTCTGTCTCTCTCTCTCTCTGTCTCTCTCTCTGTCTCTGTCTCTCTGTCTCTGTCTCTGTCTCTGTCTCTCTCTGTTTTTCTCTCCTCTCTCTCTCTCCTTCTGAGTATGATCTACGTGTGTGTGTGTGTGTGTGTGTGTGTGTGTGTGTGT